ATACTAAACCAGTAAGAGCAGACACTGCAGATACTACCCTTCATCTCAAGGAAGTGACCTGATAGCCTTTCAGGCTACACTATGTGTGTTCATGTGCGGGTGTGTGATTGTGTGCAGCGTGCAAGTGTGAGTGAATGTGTGTGAATGTGTATGCATGTGTGAGCGTGTGAATGTGTGTGTGAATGTGCATGTGTGTGTATGCATGTGTGAATGTGAGTGTGTTAATGTGCATGCTTTGTGCATGTGTGAATGTGTATGCCTATGTCAATGTGTGTGTGAATGTGCATGTATGTGAATGTGTGTTTTGTGCATGTGTGAATGTGTATGCCTGTGTGAATATGCATGTGTGAGTGTGTGAATGTGTCTGTGAATGTATGTTAATGTGTGCGTGAATGTGCATGTGTGTGTAAATGTGTGTGTGCATGTGTGAATGTGTTAATGTGTGTGTTTTGTGCATGTGTGAATGTGTATGTCTGTGTGAAAATGCATGTGTGTGTGAATGTGTGTGTTTTGTGCATGTGTGAATGTGTATGTCTGTGTGAATATGCATGTGGGTGTGAATGTGAGTGTGTTAACGTGTGTGAATGTGCATGTATGTGTGTGTGTATATGAGTGTGTGTGTGTGCACGTACACGTGTGAGCACTTATGCACCAGGACTATTCTAGGCATCCACATTGGTTGTCAATCCTCACAACAGCCTTGTAAGATAGGTGCTATTCTATTACGATTTATTTTCGTTTTATAAATGCAGAATCTGAGGCTTAGCAAAATTAAGTCGGTTTTCCAGGGCTGTTTGGCCCGTGCGGGCCGCGGCACGCACCTGCTTCCGTCTGCCCTCGCTCTAATTGTTGGCTGCACTGACGCTCTGCTCGTGAGACATCCTGTGACGACTCGGGTTGGGGCTGGAATTGGGGGGATGGCAAGCGCTGTGTGTGCATTTCACTCCCGCCAGCAGGGTCCCCCGCCTCCAATGACCTTGTTTCAGGGAAGCGCCCCCCATTTCCCAAGCGCCCGCCCCGGGGAAAAGCTGGCGGGGACATCGTCCTTTCCAGCAACGTGCCAGTCATCTCCAGCAGCGCAAACGATGCCTGCTCTGAACAGTTCGACCCCATGAGGAACATTCTGTATTCAACTTAATCTTTGCTTTATGTCTGTAATATCGAAGCACGTCTAAAGAGCCCGCGCACTGTCAGAATCTAATTGTGCATAAGAGATTTCGACTTTAATTAAAGAAGCAGGGGAAGGTTCCTTTAGGTCTCAGCCCCTTCACTCGCAGGGAGCATCTCAGTACAGGGGTCCCCGGGAGCCCAGTTCCAGCCTCCTTTGAGGGGCCTGGGACCACTTGGGCTTCGCCCCGACAATGACGGCCGCATTCCTCGAAGATCCCCGTTGTCCACGCGGATGGCGGCTCACCAGCGTCTGCGCCCGGGCGTGGGCCGCCCTCTGGAGATGAGCTGGATGTTGAAGCCACGGACACGGGACGAAGTGGCTTCTCCAGCTTCCCGGCCGACCAGGGGCGGAGCCGTAATTAAAGTCCAGGCCTCCTGCCGGTTCAGGGTTCTTTCTGGTACAAAGCAGTGTCCGCGTGGGGCCAAAGCCTCCGGCCTTAGCAGGGTCTTTGTCATTTCTTTGGGGCTCCCTGTGTCAGTGCAGACCAGTTCCCCCCACTCCCGCAGTGGAGCAGGCCCTGGGCAGGACTCGGCACCGCGTGGATGCTCCGTGCGTGCTGGACACGCGGACAGCCTGAGACCGGTCCTTCCCTCGTGTGTCCCTGCAGCAATGCGTCCTGGTCACCTGCGTGTGCCCTGAAGTATTCCCAGGAACACGAGCTTGGGCAAAGCGGACAGTGGGCGTGTCCTGGAGACATTTACATCCTAGTGGGAGCGGACAGAAAATAACACTGGGCAAAAATAATGCGCGAATCCTTCAGTCCTTTAGGGGAGAAAAGAACGCGGCAAAGTGAGGTGGGCCTGGCTTCAGCGTGAACCGAGTGGCGCAGGTGAGTCTGACGAGAAGGCAGGTTTGAGCAAAGGCCGAGCGTGAGGGGTCACCGTGGGCATCGCCGAGCAACTGTTCAGGCAGAGGAGCGGCTGTGCTGAGGCCTGAGGCGGGACTCGTCTGGGTGCCCAGGGGAGCAAGGAGGGGCGGGAGAGACCGGCCTAGTCCGGCGTTTTGAGCAGAGGGTGGCCTGTGGTGTTAGGAGGCCCCCTGGTCGCTGAGCTGGGGACAGAGGGCAAGAGGAGGAGGCGGGAACCTGCTAGGGCTGTGGATGCAGCAGACAGGAGGCTCAGAGCAGAGGCGGCAGTGAGCCAGAAGCTTCTAGATGTCAGGCAGCCGGTGTCAGCAGCGCCTAGCTGTGGGTGATCCCCCGGGACCCTGGCGGAAGGCCGGGGTGGGACTACAGGCCAGGCCTAAAGCCTCAACATCTGTGCTGGGCAGATGGCCCCGGGCCAGGGACAGATGCAGCTCCCTCCTGGGCCTGAGACAGGTGCCACCCCAAGGCAGGCACTACTTGAGTGGCAGGTGGCCCGACGCTGTGGGCCTCAGGGTGGAGAGCCGCACTCAGGGGGCTTCCCCTCTGGTTTCCAACCTTGGGATCCAGCCTGTGAAACAGCACAGACTGGTTTCCTCTGGAATCCACCATGCATGGGAGGAACGAGCAGGCCCATGTCCAGGGTAGCCCTGCCCGGTTCCAACCCGGTTCTTCTGCAGGAGGCCCCTGGGGAGCGCTGGCTGCACCTGCGGCTGTTTCCTGGTCGTGGGCTCAGGCGTCCAGGCCTGGCGTGGAGGGAAGGCAGGGGGCTGCCCGTGTGCAGGAGGAGCAAAGCCTTCTGCTTCCGTCACCGCCCGGCAGAGTCTCACCGTCCCAGCCCGGTTCACCAGAGCCCCCAGCCCCTGTGTGAGGGCAGCAGTGGTCGTGTCCTGCCTGGGCGCTGTCACAACACTTGCATGAGGAAACACAAGAGCTTTCCAATACCCCAAGCTCGGCATCATCAAGTTCCCCGGCTACATTTATTTTAAAGGTAAATGTCGCCGGGCACGGTGGCTCAAGCCTGTAATCCCAGCACTTTGGGAGGCCGAGACGGGCGGATCACGAGGTCAGGAGATCGAGACCATCCTGGCTAATACGGTGAAACCCCGTCTCTACTAAAAATTACAAAAAACTAGCCGGGCGAGGTGGCGGGCGCCTGTAGTCCCAGCTACTCGGGAGGCTGAGGCAGGAGAATGGTATAAACCCGGGAGGCGGAGCTTGCAGTGAGCTGAGATCCGGCCACTGTGCTCCAGCCTGGGCGACAGAGCCAGACTCTGTCTCAAAAAAAAAAAAAAAAGGTAAATGTCACAGAGGTCTCCGTGGAGGGCCCCGGGGTGCACGATTCTTCATCCTCAAAGAGCCTTTAATGGCAGACCTCCTGCCTTCCGTAAGGCTGGTAAAATCCAAGTCTTTATACATTGCTTTTCATTGGCTTATTTTTGCCTCTTCTGAGCTTCCTGGTAAACTAATTTTGGTGATTTTACTTTGTCCTCCATGTGTGACTTTTCTGTCCTATTTGCCTCCTGTGGACCCCTGATGCCTCTGGGAGACGGTCCTCAGCATGAGACCTTCCTACTTTCAATCTTGTCTACTGACTGTACTTTTTCATTTCTAGTTTTGTTTCTTATTTAGATTCTCTTGGGATTTTTTGTTTTTGTTTTTGTTTTGTTGTTGTTGTTTGTTTTCTTTTTGTAATGTCTTTGTTTTCCCTCATGTTTTTACTTCCTTCGTTCATTATTTTTTATAATTCCGTTTTCTAAAGTTCCCAGAGGCTGTGTGTGCTGTGTGCTCACGGTGGACTCTTGCTGTGTGTGGTTTGTCATTTTAGTTTCGGTTCGTCTTGGTTGGGGCTTTGTCTGTGGGAATCCCACGAGGCTTGAACTGAGAGCACCTCCGGGCCAGAGCCCTGCTGACATTGGGCTGCATAATTCTTTGCTCTGGGGGCCCATCCTGTGCAGGGCATTGGCAGTATCTCTGGTTTCTACCCACTGGACGCCAGTCACAGCAGTCATGACCATCACACATGTCTGCAGACCTTGCCGGCTGCCCCAGGGCAGAATTGCCCCCACTGCTGGGAACTGCGGCTTTGGCTGGTTCTCTGCTTGGCTCTGTGAGCTTCAGGGGTATCGCGGCCACCACCTGTGTGTGATCATTTCTTGGCTGTTATCACCCACCAAAATTCCAGCCTCACCCCACTGGGCACGCTAGGCTCATAGACACACAGCATCGTTTTTGACCTGGCCGAGAGAGAGGCCTTGAAACCTTCCGGTACTGGCTGGTGGGTTTCCTTCCCGATCACCCTCTGTGGAGGGGCCCTGCATGGCCCCTGCTTTCCTTAGATCAGTTCAGCCTCTGCCCTCGTGCTGTGACGGCCGTTCCCGCTCACCTCTGTCATCACTGAACCAGACGCCACACTCTTCACAAGACTGTGTCGTCAAACTGGTTGATCTACTCTAATACCTTGTGGCAATTCAAGATGCTTATTTTTGCTCTTATGAATGAAACTGAGCATGATTTTTCATATGTTGAAAGCCTTTTCCCCCCTTGATGTGAACTTTATGTCAGTTGGCCCATTTTTTCTTCTGAGCTGTTTGTAGTCTTTCTTTTGCTGACGTTTTGCAGAGAATGGGGAGGAACTCCAGAGCTTCCAGAAGTAACTTTGCAATCTCTTAAGTAATTAGCTTTAGAACACTTTAGCATATAATTTATGTCCATATTTTAACATGTATGTTCTGGGAGGAAGAAAGCCTTTTACAGCAGAAGTTCCAGGTTGTACCTGACTATCCAGTTATTTTAATAATGATTCATCCCTGCCTACAAAAAACCTGGAGCATGCGATGGCTTTGGCTACAAGGGAAGTCAACCTGTCCTGCAAGCCTGACGTGTGTGCTCCGCGGGGACTGGAGGGTGGGGCGTCAAAGCCACCATTCTCCGCAGTAATAACTCAGGCGACTCTCTGTCCCTTAGGGTGAAACTGGACGTTCATTTTCCAGGTCGAAGCCACTGGTCTCAGCTGTGATTTCACCAGTTCCCTGAAAGAGAATACCCTGAACCTTCACAGAGCCAGGTAAACCCAGAACCTGCCAGAATGGAGCAAGAAACCTCACGTAGCACTGGGATTTCTGTTTTCCATTTCAGAGAGAGGGTCTTCCTTGTGCCTTCTGCTGATGGTGAAGCTGAGACGCTGGCGACTGTTGACACACACCTGTCAAAGGCATGCCTCACAGGCAGCCCAAACTCAGGCGTGGCCCCTTCCGAGCCCCACCTGGGACCACAGAGGACAAGGGAGCTCACAGGGCCATCTGCCGTGCCACAAAGGGCTCCAGCAGCTGGGTGTGCACTCTAGGCTTCTTCGACAAACTGGGACAGCCGCTGCTCATTCCGGGCAGTTTCTGAGGCAGCACGTTCAGACGACTTCCTGCCGCATTAGGAAGCTCCGTTTTGTGAGCCCCGGGGAGGCCGGCAGGTTGGCACTTTCAGAGCCTTTAATGCCCCAGAGCACTTGACTTGTAGGGCTCGGGAAATCGCTGCAGCAGGTTTCCATGACCTAAGTAGCCGATTGCTTTTGAATAAAATCAGGTCCCCTGCTCCGGCCCTTCTGCCGGGCCAGCCCTCCGTCTCAGAGGAGCTCTCCTGCTTTTGGACCTCTCTGCCCGCCCCCCACAGCCGCCCCCCACAGCCCTGTGCAGTATTGGATGAGTCGGACGTGTCTGTGTTCCTCGGATCTATGCTCCAGGCCATGTCCTTGGCATGGGGTGTCTGTCACAGAGATTTAGACCACATGTTCACTGAGTGAACCTTGGGGCATAGAGGCACACATGACCGTTTAAATCCTGCCCACGTCCCCCCTCTTCTCATGCAGCGAACTTGGCGCTGAAGGTCACAGCACACGTGGTCCTGGTGATCGCTGAGTGCTTCTCTCCTGGCCTCCATTGCAGTAGCCGTCCAAGGAGCTTTCTCCCATTCAGAAGTGACTTCTGCAATTCTTCACTGGGGGCGCTGAGCTCTTACTGGCAAGCTAACTAATGCCATTTTGTTAGGCTGTCTTTCCCTCCCTCCTTCCTTTTCATTTAACTTTTTCCCCCTAAGATCTCAGGGGAATCACACGCTTGGGTCAAGTGGGCAGTCTGTGAGCTACACTGAGCAAACCCACCATGCCCCTTCTCTGGTTCCTGAGTTGCCGTAGTGGTGGGTTTAAACTTTACTTGGCAGAAGTTCGAGGCTACAGTTGTCGGCAACAACCAAAAAAAGGGCTTGATGTTGACGGTGGGAGGCAGCGGTTCTCGAACCTCAGTGATGAGGCTTGCATGTTACTGGATTCCCCCGAGGCCTACTCACTCAGAATGATTTTTATAAGTTGAAATAAAATTCACATAACGTTGTATTTACCATTTTTACGTGCACGATTCAGTGGTTTTTAGTGTATTAACAATGTTGTACAACCATCACCACTCTCTAATTCCAGGACTTTTCATCATCCCAAAAGAAACTCTGGGCCATTAGCAGTCACTCCTCCTTGCCCCTCCTCCCATTCCCTGGAACCCCTCACCTGCTTTCTGTCTCTGTGAATTTCCTTATCATGGACATTTTATTTTATTTTATTTTATTTTATTTTATTTTATTTTTTGAGACAGTGCCACTCTGTTTCCCAGGCTGGAGTACAGTGGCGTGATCTTGTCTCACTGGAACCTCTGCCTCCTGGGTTCAAGCGATTCTCCTGCCTCAGCCTCCTGAGTAGCTGGGATCACAGGCACCCACCACCACGGCCGGCTAGTTTCTGTATTTTTGGTAGAGACGGGGTTTCGCCATGTTGGCCAGGCTGGTCTCAAACTCCTGACCTCAAGTGATCCGCCCGCCTCAGCCCCCCAAAATGCTGGGATGACAGGTGTGAGCCACCGTGCCCGGCTCAGACGCTTTATATAAACGGATTCCCACTATATGTGACGTTTTCTCCTGGCTTCTTTCTCTTAGCACAGGCTTTATCCACGCTGTGGCATTAGCAGCACTTGATTCCTGTTTATGGCTGAGTAACATTCCTGTATGGAGGCCCACGTGTTGCTTCTCTGTTTATCAGTTGATGGAATTTGGGTTCTTTTCACTTTTTGGCGATTTTAGTGATGCCACTGTGAACATTTATGTACAAGTTTTTGTGTGAGCACATGTTTTCATTTGTCTTGAGTGTATACCTCGGAGTGGGGTCTCCAGGTCACACGAGAACTCTATGTTTAAAATTTGAGGAACTGCCAGACTGTTTTCCACTGTGGCTGTGACATTTTATGTTCCCACCAGCAATGTACCGGGATCCAATTTTTCCACATCCTTTCCAACACTTGTTGGGGTTTTTTTTTTTTTTTTCCCATTTGTTTGATTATAACTACCCTAGTGGATGAGAAGTGGTATCTTGTAGTTTTAGTTTACGTTTCCATAATGACTAATGATATTGGTCACCTTTTCATGTGCTTATTAGCCATTCACATATTTCCTTGGGAGAAATATCTGTTCAAATCCTCTGCCCATGTGTAATTTGGGTTGTCATTTGTTGCTGGGCTGCGAGAGTTCCTAACATCCTGGATACTAGACTCTTATCAGATATGTGACTCGCAGCTCTTTTTTTCCCACTGTTACTTGTCATTCATTTTCCTGGTGCTGTTCTTTGATATACAAGAGTTTCATTGGAACGAAGTCCAATTTATCTTTTTTCTTTTGTTCCTTGTGCTTTTCGCCTCCTGTTTCAGAAATCAATGTCTCATCCACGGTCGTGAAGATGTACACTCTGTTTTCTCCTACGTGTGTTTTGGAGTTTTAGCTCTTACGTTAAGGTCTTTGATGTAGTTTGAATTAGTTTTTATATATAGTGTGATGTTGGCACCTGTCTTGGTCCATTCAGTGTTGCTATAAAGGAATACCTGAGGCCAGGTAATTCATTTTTAAAAGAAGTTTTAATTGACTCATGATTCTGATGTCTGGAAAAGTTCAGGATCAGGTATCTGCATCTGAGGAAGGCCACAGGTGGCTCCAGTCATGGCAGAAGATGGCACGGAGCTGCTGTGTGTGGAGACCACACGGAGACGGAGGAAGCAAGGGCTAGGGGTGCCAGGCGGGCTCAACAGCCAACTCTGGAGTGAACTCATAGAGCGAGAACTCACTCATTACCATGAAGATACCACCCAGCCTTGCGTGAGGGATCCGCCCCCATGACCCAAACCCCTCCCATTAGACCCCACCTCTGACATTGAGTATCAAATTCCAGTATAAGATTTGGAGGCCAATACCCAAACGATAGCAGGGTCCAACTTTATTTTTTTATATGTGGAGAACCGTTTGTTGGAGACAGTATTATTTCTCCATTGAATAGTTTTGACGACCTTGTCAAAAATGAACGGACGGTGGACTCATGGGTCATTTCTGGACTTTGGATTCTGCTCCATTGATGTTTGTGTCTCTCTTTACGCCAGTCCTACACTCTCGACTGCTGCAGCTTTATACTTAGCTTGAGAAAGCAGTAATGGACTAGTCCATGTTCGCATTCCCAGAAAGGAATACCTGACACTGCGTAATTGATAAAGAAAAGAGGTTTAATTCGCTCATGGCTCTGCAGGCTGTGAAGGAAGCCTGGTGCCAACGTCTGCTTGGCTTCTGGGGAGGCTTTGGGAAGCTTCCAGTCACGGCAGAACGCAAAGGGGGAGCAGGCACGTAACATGGTGAAAGCAACAACAAGGTTAGGGGTAGGTACCACACACTTTTAAATGAACATATCTCATTTCTACACAGGATTTAGGTGGAGGCATGTAATAAAATAATATCAAGTAAGTTTGAGCCCTCCAACTTTGTTCTTTGTCAAGATTGCTTTGGTTACCTTGCATTTCCAATAGAATTTTAGGTTCAACTTGTCAATGTCTTCAAAAAAGTTACTGAGATTTTCATATGGATTGGATTGACTGTTGATCAACTTAGGGAAGAGTGCCATCGTAACAATATTAGGTCTTCTAATACATGAGCATGGAATGTCTTTTCATTTATTTAGTCTTAAAATTTCTTCCTGCAATGTTTGTAGTTTTCAGTTTTCAGTGTAGATTTCAGTTCACTCCCTGGTTAAATTTATTCCTAAGCATTTTATTCTTTCTGGTGCTCTTACAAATGGAATTTTTTAAACTTCTTTTTCCGGTTATTCATTGCTTTTGTATAGAAATACAACTGATTATTTTTTTTTATTTTTATTTATTTTTTTTTTTAGGCGGAGTCTGGCACTCTTGCCCATACTGGAGTGCAGTGGCCCGATCTCGGCTCACTGCAAGCTCCGCCTCCTGGGTTCACGCCATTCTCCTGCCTCAGCCTCCCGAGTAGCTGGGACTACAGGCGCCCGCCACCTCGCCCGGCTAGTTTTTTTGTATTTTTTAGTAGAGACGGGGTTTCACCGTGTTAGCCAGGATGGTCTCGATCTCCTGACCTCGTGATCCGCCCGTCTCGGCCTCCCAAAGTGCTGGGATTACAGGCTTGAGCCACCGCGCCCGGCCACAACTGATTTTTTATACTGATCTCACGTCTTGCAATTTTGCTGAACCCATTCTCATAGTGGGGTGTGTGTGTGTGTTCTTTAAGGTTTTCTGTACATAAGACCATAAGAACAAGTCATCTCAAAATATAGTTTTACTTTTTTTCTTTTGAGTCTGGATGCCTTTTCTTTCTTTCTCTTGCCTAATTTTTCTGACTAGAATTTCCAGAACAATGTTAAGTAGAACTCATGACAGCAGGCATTTCAGTCTTGTTCCTTGTCCTGGGGGAAAGAATCCAGTCTTTCACAGTTGACTATGAAGTTAGCAGTGAGTTTTTCCTACATGGACTTTGTCATGTGGAGGAAGTTCTCTTTTAGTCCTAGTTATTGAGTTTTTTGTTTAATCACAAAAGGATGTTAGACTGTGTCAAATCCTTTTTCTGCATCTATTGAAATTATCACGATTTTTTCCCTTCACCCTATAAATACGTATATTATATTAATTTTTGCATACTGTGCCACCCTTGTATTCCTGTGATAAATCTCTATGGTAAATGATCACATGGTCATCGTGTATAATCCTTTTAATATGAAGCTGGATTTATTTTGCTCTTGTTTTGTGGAGGATTTTGCCTGTTTTCTCTCTCTCTTTTATTTATTTATTTTTATTTTTTTTTTGAGATGGAGTCTAACTCTGTTACCCAGGCTGGAGTGCAGTGGCGTGATCTCGGCTCACTGAAACCTCCATTCCCAGGTTCAGGCAATTCTCCCTGCCTCAGCCTCCCAAGTAGCTGGGACTACAGACACCTGCCACCACACCTGGCTAATTTTTGTATTTTTAGTAGAGACAGGTTTTTGCCATGTTGGCCAGGCTGGTCTCAAACTCCTGACCTCAGATGATCCACCCACCTCAGGCTCCCAAAGTGCTGGGATTACAGGCGTAAGCCACTGTGCTGGGTCTTTGTCTTTAGACAGTTTGTGGTGCGTCAGTGTGGATGTCTTTGAATTTATCTTACTTGGAGTTTGTTGAGTTTCTTAGATGTGTAGATTAATGTTTTTCATCAAATTTGGAGGGTTTTTTAAAACCATATTTCTTCAAATATTCTTTTTTCCCTGTTCTCTTTTTCCTTTCGGGACTCTCATCATTCAAAAGTTGGTACATCTGATGGTCCCACAGGTCTCTTAGGCTCTGTTCAGTTTTCTTCAGTTTTCTTTGTTTGTCAGATAGGATACCATCAAATGATGCATCTTCAATTTCTCTGATTATTTCTTCAGTGTGTTCATAGCTGCTGTTGAGACCCTCTAATGAGCTTTTCATTTCAGCTAGTATCTTTCAACACCAGAATTTCTATCACTTTTTTTTTTTTTATAACTTATCTTTATTGACATTCTCTATTTGGTGAGACATCGTTCTCACAAATTCCTCCAGCTCTCTGAAGATATTAAACAAGCTTAGGTGAAGTATTTTCCTAGTGAGTCCAATATCTGTGTTTCTTCAGAGATATTGTGTTTTAGTTCCTTTTTCCTGTCTATGAGCTACACTCTTGTATTCTTTGCATGCCTTGTAATTTTTTGTTGAAACAAGATTTTTAATAAGTGGCAGTTGTGGAAATCAGACTTCCCTCTCCCCAGGATTTTCTGTAGCTGCTGTGGTTTGTTGAGTAACTTTTGTGAACCAAGTTTGTAAAGTTCATCTTCTTTGTCTGATGTGGCCATTGATGTCTGTTCCATTAGCTTAGAGGGCAGTAAGTGATGCGACATAGATTCTTAAACGTCTGGAATGAAAACTAAAACTTGGTTTTGCAGATGGGCTGTGTGTCTTGGAGCCACCTTCAGCACTCAGCCAGGCTGGTCAAGCCTCTGTCTTGCCACTTCCTGCTCGCAGAATCTGAAGGTCAGTCCCAGGAGGGACTTTAGGGACTTCTCGGGATTTTCCCGGCATGTGCGTGGCATTCCAGACTCCTGGGAACTCTTAGAACCTTATCAAGCCCTTATTTCCAAAATCATCTCATTCCCCAGCCTTTCATCCCCAGCTTTTTGTCTACCTGTGGTCCCAACTATAACCCAGAGGCAGCAAATGGCTAAAACACTTTCCCATCAACGTTTCTGACACACACTCCCCAGGTGGCTGCCTTTGCACAGACAGACTTCCAAGAAACCGGAGATGAGGCTGGGCGCGGTGGCTCACGCCTGTAATCCCAGCACTTTGGGAGGCCGAGACGGGTGGATCACAAGGTCAGGAGATCGAGACCATCCTGGCTAATCCGGTGAAACCCCGTCTCTACTAAAAAATACAAAAAACTAGCCGGGCGCGGTGGCGGGCGCCTGTAGTCCCAGCTACTCGGGAGGCTGAGGCAGGAGAATGGCGTGAACCCGGGAGGCGGAGCTTGCAGTGAGCTGAGATCACGCCACTGCACTCCAGCCTGGGCGACAGAGCGAGACTCCGTCTCAAAAAAAAAAAAAAAAAAAAAAAAAAAGAAACCGGAGATGAAGGCAGAGCCTTCCACGGAGCCACAGTAATTACGATTCCTCAAGAATGAGGCCTGTAGCTTCCCCCTCCAGTGCTGCTACTGGTACCGGGAATGCAGGCTGTTGCTTTCAAGGCTGTCGTGGCGCTGGGGAGCAGGGTAAAGCTTATTATTGTGACCAAGACTCAGCTGTTCTTTCTCAGTGCCCCACGGCTGGTGCAAGCTTTTGGTTAGTTTCCAGAGTTCCAAAAAGGCTGACTCTTGACAGTTTTTACCAGGTTTTTCATTGTGTTAAGGTAGGATGGACTTTTGGAGCTCCTTATTCTGCAGTTTCTCCGCCTCACAGAGCCAGGAACGCCGTTTTCCAGCAGGTCCCCTGGCTGATTCCGACGTGGTTAGCTCTCAGGGCACACCGTGGGAAACTAAGCTGGGACTGCGTGTCTCCGGCCAGACATCGCGGCGTCCTCACTGCTCGGTGGGGTCCGCCCTGAAACATCTGGCTCTTTGGAGTTTGAGTGGATTTGTGAAAGCTCCGTTCGACCCCTGGTTCCAAACCCGTAGTGTGAGAACCCAGCTGTTCTCTTGGCGATAACTCAAGGCGGGTCCATAACCTGGAGGGGTCCGCGGGACGCCTGAGGGTCCCCCACGCGGACCAGGTGCAGGGGTCGGGCCTGCGGAGGAGCGGCCAGTGGGCGGGCGGAGGGGTCTCAGAGCTCACCTCCGAGGGTTCGGTGCCGGCCGGCCCCTGGATCCCCGCGGGCGGACGCGCTCCCCCAGCTCAGCCCTCGCGGCCCTAACGCGCTCCTTTCCTTTTGCAGGAGCCCGGCGGAAGCCCCTCGGTCCGGTCCCGCCCGGCGCATGGAGCCATGGCCCTGTTCCGCGGGAGGCGGCGGCGGTGGGACCCGCGCCCGCCACGTCATCATCAACGTGGGCGGCTGCCGCGTGCGCCTGGCCTGGGCCGCGCTGGCGCGATGCCCCCTCGCGCGCCTGGAGCGCCTGCGCGCCTGCCGCGGCCACGACGAGCTACTGCGCGTGTGCGACGACTACGACGTGAGCCGCGACGAGTTCTTCTTCGACCGCAGCCCGTGCGCCTTCCGCGCCATCGTGGCGCTGCTGCGCGCGGGGAAGCTGCGGCTGCTGCGGGGCCCGTGCGCGCTGGCGTTCCGCGACGAGCTGGCCTACTGGGGCATCGACGAGGCGCGCCTGGAGCGCTGCTGCCTGCGCCGCCTGCGCCGCCGAGAGGAGGAAGCGGCCGAGGCGCGCGCGGGGCCGGAGGAGCTCGGGGCGCAGGGGAGCCCGGCGCGCGCCCTGGGGCCTCGGGGGCGGCTGCAGCGCGGCCGGCGGCGCCTGCGCGACGTAGTGGACAACCCGCACTCGGGGCTGGCGGGCAAGCTCTTCGCCTGCGTGTCCGTGTCCTTCGTGGCCGTCACGGCCGTGGGCCTCTGCCTGAGCACCATGCCAGACATCCGCGCGGAGGAGGAGCGGGTGAGCGCGGACTTGGGTGGCGGGGACCGGGGCCGGAGCTGGGGCTGGGGTCTGGGTGCGGGGAGGCGGGTGGGGGAAGGGGCTGGAGGCAGCCATGGCCAAGGCCTAGGACTGGGCTGGGGGCTGCCGGGGCCAGGGTGGGCCGGGGCAGGGCTGGAGGCAGCCGGACCGAGGGAGCGCAGCTGATGGTGATCTTGGCCAACCCCCACCCCCAGCGGGAGACAGCAGAGCCTCCAAGTTACATTCGGTTTCCACACGCAGTATCTGCTCCACAGGCCTCCGCTGGAACTACTTAGCCCATCAGTTCCTCAAAGTTTGAACAACATGGAGCTAAAGTATTGGGTATCGGGGCCTAGAGAATTGTGTGACATTTGGTCATTCTGGACCACGGAGACCCAACCGCATTGTTCCAGGGCTGGAGGACAGTGCCAGGGCTGTGGAACCGAGGTCTGGGTGCCGAGGGCTGTGTGCTGAGACGTCTGGGTGCTGAGGTCTGGGTACTGAGAGGTCTGGGTGCTGAGTTCTGGGTGCTGAGAGGTCTGTGTTCTGAGAGGCCTGGGTGCTGAGGTCTTGGTGCTGAGGTCTTGGTGCTGAGAAGTCTATGTGCTGAGAGGTCTGGGCGCCGAGAGGTCTGGGTGCTGAGGTCTGTGTGCTGAGAGGTCTGGGTGCTGAGGTCTGGGTGCTGAGGTCTGGGTGCTGAAAAGTCTGTGCTGAGAGGTCTGTGTACTGAGTTCTGGGTGCTGAGAGGTCTGTGTTTTGAGAGGTCTGTGTGCTGAGAGGTCTGGGCGCCGAGAGGTCTGTGTGCTGAGTTCTGGGTGCTGAGAGGCCTGGGTGCTGAGAGGTATGTGTTTTGAGAGGCCTGGGTGCTGAGAGGTCTGGGCGCCGAGAGGTCTGTGTGCTGAGTTCTGGGTGCTGAGAGGCCTGGGTGCTGAGTTCTGGGTGCTGAGAGGTCTGTGTTCTGAGAGGCCTGGGTGCTGAGAAGTCTATGTGCTGAGAGGTCTGGGCGCCGAGAGGTCTGGTCGCCGAGAGGTCTGGGTGCTGAGAGATCTGGGTGCTGAGATCTGGGTGTGGATCTTCCTGCCCCTGTCTTAAACTTCCTGCCCTGTCCGTCCTGTCCCACTAACCTGAGAAGGCCTGGGCAGAAGTGTGTGACCTTGTGGGTTAATCTATGTTACCATGAGGAGACAAGAGAAGGCGAAAGCTTGCCAGTGTATGTCATGTCTGGGGAAGGACCGTGAGCTCTGGGCCCTAGGCCTGGGGGTTTGTGTTGTTGGAGTGGTGAGATTCATGGAGAAGGGGCTGTGACTGTGTCTGAACGGGCGTAGCTGAGTGTTGCCCTGAAAAGGTCTCCCTGCATTTTCCAACGGCCACACCAGGAGGCAGGGCACCCACCAGGTGGGGGTCGGGCACCCCTCCCCTCGGCACCGGCCTCCCTGGACTGCATGGAGGCCCCTCCGCCCCTCACAGGGCAGAGCACCCACCGTCAGCACCGCAGAGGCCCTGCCTGCCTTGGGGACACTCGTCATTGAAGGGCACAGCAAGGAGCTGAACTGACCCAAGCCTGCGGCCCGAGTGCAAACATGACTTAGACGCAGGTTTGGAAGTCGGCTGCCGCCCTCAGTCTGGATATGTGGCCGCCCGAGTGCGGATTTGACTTAAATGCAGGTTTGGAAGTCAGTTGCTGCCTGCAGTCTGGGTGCCTGGCAGCCGGGCTGCCTTCCCCCGTCGTCCCCATGAGGTCCAGGTCCTGACTGTGCTTCCAAAAGGTGCTTCAGTGTTTGGCTGTCCTCAGTTGAATATCCAGGAGGGAAAATTCATTTGTGTCATGTTAGAGAATGGGAGAAGTTTGGGCTGCTCCAGCTACAGAAGCCACCCCAGGAACACCAGCCCTGATCCTTACTGTGCACCCCAAAACCCCAGATCCTCTCAGGGACAACCCTGGGCTCCATGGCACCCAGCGCTTCACACTCCTGGCACGCGCCCCTAAATCGCTTGTGCAGGTAAGAAGCAGTCGCCCCCCGCGTGGGGCCTGGTGACATGTGTCCGAGCGTTGCAGCCACTGCTGACCGAGGTCTTTTTCGGAAGCGATTCGGTTGTGTGGGTGAACAGCCAAGAAAAGATGGTCCTCACCCCTGTCCCAAGAGAATATTTCAAAGCATGAGAATTGACGTGTTGGTGATGTAACAAAACCGGAAGCCAGGGCACCTCCGAGCGTCCAGCTAGGGGCTGGCGAAGGACGTCACCTTCTGTCCACTTGATTGATGAGATGTGGGGAACCATAAAATGTTGGTGATTCCCATGAAAAAACGCTCAGCCCGACTTGTAATTAAATACATGCTGGATCCCAGACAGTGCAAGTCCCAGCCCAACTCAGGCCTCAGACGAGCCAAGTCACTGGCCGACCATCCCAAGCCAGCCGCTGAGGGACGGCAGTGGGACCGTGACTCGGTGCTCCCGGGAGGGAACGTGGGTGCAGGCGCTTTGGTGCCGTTTGTCAGGAAACGAGTTCTTGAGAACTAGGAGTCGGTGTTACTGACAAAATGTGAGGTCTGATGGGTTACGTACAGAAGGCTGAGTCCGGCCGCCACGCAGGGTCGGCTTCTGCTGCGTTTCCCACGCACGGTGCTGTCCCAGGTGCAGGGGTGGGGGTGCCGGAGCCGTGAGCACCCCTACACACAGCTCTACAGACACTGGGGAGACCCCGAGCCAGAGTCCAGCCAGGACATTCTCCCAGGTCTCCTGGATGCCTCAGAGAATGAGGGAAGCCCAGGGCGCTGGTTGGTTTCAGTGCCTGCCCCCCCGCTGAATCTCCCGCCCTGGGCTGCGACCTGCACAGGGGCAGCAGCTCCGTGTGGGGAAGGCTTGGCACGGGGACCATGGAAACGCCTGGTCTTCTGCACACAGCGGGTGCTGAAGAAATAGGAAGCCTCGGTTATCTATGAGCAAAACATGCCCGTGTGTCCCCAGCAACACTGAGGACCTGAGAACCCGGCTTTGTCAGTGTGTGCTTGGCTCTGGGCTGCCTGGACTGGGGGCAGTTGTTGAGTCTGAGCTCACAGGAGACGCGCTGGCCCACAGGTGCGCTGGGACGGCCGTGGGGACCGGAAGGTGGACACCTGGCCCGCCCTGCACTGTCCAAGCAGGCTCCGTCCTCTGCCTGAAGTCATGTGGGATCATTCACTCCATTGCTGGGCCTTTCCCAGGAGAGAAAATCTGTTCTGTCCCAAACCCACAGGATCTTTGTGGCCAGGCGTTCGGGTGATTTGCTCAACTGTTTATCCTGCCTGTGGCCACAGAGGTTACAAACCAAATCCTAAACATCTGTGGCCCCAAAAGTTATCCTGAATTCTCTGACCCCCCAAAAGTATATCCTAAACCCAGACACCCCCGCTGCACCCCCAACCTTGCCGTCTTTCCTAGGAGAGGTTACCCGTGGTCACGACCTGCAGACACCTCCACCGCCACCACACGGGACGGCCTGCAGCCCTGGCTTGGACGTTGTAATCCAGGCTGTAGGGACACGGACGGGCCTGAGGTCAGAGCTGGAGTGGGAGTTACCACCCGTTCCCAGCTGTCAGAGGCTCAGCCGGGTGGGACCTCCCACCTCCGGGCCCCAGCCACGTGTGGGTGGGCACCGTTTGTGCTCCCCATTGCCCTCGTGGGACCTCCAGTGAGTCTGTGGCCTTTGGGAGTTTAGGCTGTGGACGGCTGTGTGGAGGAGGCTGAGCCACCTCTCTGCTCCCCACTGTCTGCTCCCAGACGAGGCCCCCCATGCCCAAGGTGCCCTGTGAACATACAGACAGGATCACGAGCTTCAGCTGCCGTGGGCCCTAATGGCTGTGGGATAATCGGCAGGGAGCGGTGTCTCTTGAGAAACGTGTGTCTGGGGTGAGGTTAGATGATGGTTGCAACAACGTGGTGTGGTTTTGGGGTCCCGTGGGCTCTCCGTGGTCAGGATGGCACCCGCGTTGGCTTCCTGCCGGTGGATGGGGCCCGGTGACGCCCACTGTGAGGATCCAGAGCGCTTTGGAGGGATGGCTGGGGGCAGTTTCCGTGCCTGCAGAGCTGCACGCTCCCCCTGCGCTGGGCGGCTGCCGGGTGGCCTGGACGGTGTGAGCACCCACGTGCTGGCTGGAGGCCGGGACAGACTGCTCCGCCCACTGGAGACCCACCTGCTGGCCTGCCTGCTGTTGGTGGAGGTTTGTGGCTGGAGGTTGTTTTTCAAAATCCATTGCTTCCTTGTACATTCAGGCTGATTTTTGGCTCTGTAAATTGATTTTTTCTTTTAAACTCACATGATTAAATTAAGAGCAGTATAATTAGTTATAGATTTCATGACTGGGATTTGAAGCATTGAATTCACTGAGAACATTTTTGCAACAGCTTTAAAAGCTGGTCGCCAAGTTTCTTCTGCACGTGGGCAGACGTCACAGACACCGAGTCGTGTCAGCTCGCAGAGCGAGAGCTTTGCGGATGCCGAGTTGTGCTGATCAGGGTTCTCCGGAGGTGCGGGATGAAAGGGTGCGGCTGATTGGCAGGAGTCAGCTCACCAGGTCCTGGAGGCCTCACGCTGCAGTCAGCATGCCGGAGACCAGCAGAGCCTGGGTCTGAGTTCCAGCCCAAAGACCAGCACCGGGAGACCAGGAAGAGCTGCGGTTTCCGTCGAGCCTGGGGCAGGAGAAAGGTCCCAGCCTGTGGCCAGGCAGGAGGAGTCCTTTGCGCTGGGGAGGGTCAGCCCTTCATGTCAGGCACAGGCCTCCGGAGTCCGCCACGGGAGCGTTGTGTCCACCTGCACCTGTGTGAGGCTGAGCCTTACGAGCTGACAGATCGCACCTCCCAGCAGCGCGAAACGTGCTTGTGTCTGTTGCAGCCTGTCCTGTGGGCGACCCTTGGAGCCCTGACTGGCTGCACGGCAAGGACAGACGCAGGGCGTGGATGGGACGTGGGGTGTGGCCTGTCCCTACAGCTGCAGTCAGAGTTGTCCTGGACCTGAGCACCGG